GGGGGGGGGGGGGGGGGGGGGGGGGGAAAATCGAGTCACGAGACGGGATATTTGCATATTACAGATAAGAAATAGCCTTTCAGTGTTGCTGGTAATAACTGGTTATGTGTTTTTTCATTCTTTTTTTCTCAGGAATCGTGGTAAGATGCGATATTAAGTACCAGTTTCATATAAAATATCATTTTTTTTAGACATATTCTGGTCTTTTTTGTGTTGTTATCAATCCATACAAATGGATGCCGCATATTTACTCGAACACTGTGATGAGCAGTTATCGTGGACGAAAACGACACGAAGTACCACCGCATGTTTTTGCTGTAACCGATTGCGCCTATCGTGATATGCTCCATCGTATGGCTTATTTGGTTTTATTAGGAATTGCAAGAAGTTCAGCTTAGATTTCTTAAGTTCAAGTTTTTTACGAGGGCAAAAAGCATTCTTGCTACTGGGCAACGCTGTTAAAATGTTATCATTCTAGCTATTTTTGAATGCCTCCATCTCTCTAAAGAATATTGAATATCTTATATTTTTCCAACAGTATTTACACAATTTTCTTTTAACCTTAAATGAATTATCAACAGTGAGGGTGAGACAGAGCGTGGTTTTCACATTGATTTTATAGTTTTTTTTTTGAGGAAATATCCAACAGGAATTTCAGGTTTCTGGGTAAAATATTTAACAGAAACTTTCCTTTTTAATTTTATTGTTCCCGAAACTTAATGGAGAAATTGAAGGATACCGCGGTCTATGTTTTATTCTTTAGCTGTAATTACAAACAGAACCATAAATTCGGTTAAGAGTGGGAATCATCAGTACAACCTCCTACTAGCCATGTATAGGATATGCATGTAACTGATTTCTCAAGTTTCGAATCTTAATTTTTTAGAGCGCGAAGATCAGTCAATCCTGTGTACTGGTGAATCAGGAGCTGGAAAAACTGAAAATACGAAAAAAATCATTCAATATTTGGCAGATGTAGCAGGTGCAGGACGTCACATTCGTCCCGGAGGTTCACGTAGTCCAGGAAGACCAAGCACGGT